TAGTGCCAAAAATACATGTAACCACCATTAACTACATTTTCCTCTTGTATAAGAACATATTACATGTTCCAAAAAAGGGGTTTACTTTAATATGTTCATCAGATTCTCTTTTTATCTCTCAAGAACACATCAAGCAAAAGTATTATGTGTTTCTCAATTCGAATTAGGCTTGTAATTCGGATTGGTTTTTGTTCTTAGATTATCACACTTTTGAATTCGTATACCCCGACAAAAGAGACGAATTACCGATTTTGAAAAATGTTTGAAAAACACAATCATAGAAATTATCCAAGTTTATCGAAACTCGTTTGAGATGATGTCACGAATGGTTCATTGTATACATATACTCATATTAGATGGTGCAACTAAAGCAATTTTGGAGTATGAAGCCATAAACGAATTTAATATTCATCTCTTCTTTCAATACCCATAGCAATAACGCACCTATTTAAGACCATCAAAACATGCTTAAACTTGATTTATGGTACCTTTGAATAATTGAATGCATAAATTGGGCCTGTAGAAGTTTAAATTGCAGTCCAAAGTTCTAGAGATCAAGGAGAGATGTATTAGTATACATGTTACAGTAAAAGGTATAGAAATAACCATGATTCGTTGAAAGCTCCAAAATTTTAGAAAAACCAGAGTTTTTCGATGAGAGTCGATCTTCTGTCAACAAAAATTCAATATCTGAAAAAAGTCATCATAAAAGTTGTGGTCCAAACATACTAATTTTTTGGACTAATTAATTGTACAAACTACAATGATTTATGATTTATAAGGATTTTTTGTAATAAATAACACCTAAGCGTGTTCCATATATCAAGACGAAATAATATATTAAAGAAGTATATCTTCTCATTCTTGATATTATATTAAAGAAGTATATCTTCTCATTCTTGATATTATGATTTATAAAACCATATTTATGGAATGCAGGTGAACAACCGATTGGGTAGAAAGAAAAATAAAAATAATAAACAATAAGCTATCGCAAAGGCCGGTTGACATAAAACCACCAAGCAACCTAATGTCATGCTCTTTATCGATTCACGTACGTGCATTGGGGGATCCAAAAAAAAATATTATTGGGGTCTATCTTAAAAATAAAAAAAATAAAAAATCTAAAAATTGAAACTAGAAAAAATTAGAAAATTTGAGACTTTTGAGACTTTTTTCTGTAAAAAATATTACAAAATTTTTTTTTTTTTTTAGTATAAGTGGATGCCAAAAGGGAAAATTTAAATATGATTTTTTTAAGGACTCAAAGGTTTGAATAAATTTTTAAGTGGGGTAACCCCGTGGATCCGCCACTACGTACGTGGCAAAATACGATTGTGCCATATGATCGGTTGTATTTTTATTTTAGAGTAAATTACACGAATGGTCCCTACAGTTTAGGATAACTTGCATTTTTGGTCCCTAACTTATTATTTTAACTCAGAAGGTTCCTAGTGTTTGTTTTTGTTACGCATTTGATCCCTATCTTACCTAAAAAGACTATTTTTACCTTGATTTTTTAATTTATTTAAATAAACACACCCCAACTCCATCCCTCACCTTACCTTACCTACACCACAATTTTTTTATTTAAATAATAGTCTTTTTAGGTAAGAAAAGGACCAAGCGCGTAACAAAAACAAACAGTATGAACCAAGCATGTAACAAAAACAAACAGTAATGACCTTCCGAGTTAAAAATATAAGTTAGAGACCAAACACATAAATTATCCCAAACCATACGTGTAATTGACTCGCTCTTTCTCTCTCTCTCTCTCTCTATATATATATATATATATATATATATATATATATATAATTATATATATATATATATATATATATATATATATATATATATTAGGTAAATGCCCGCGCGTTGCCAGAAACACCTATATAGTTGAAGTCTTTACAAATATATGTTTTTTTTAAATATAACAATAACGTTGTTGTTAAATTCTATATAATAATTTGTGTATACTAAATTGATATAATATATTGATTATTTTGAATTATATGATAATATATACATCCATTATAACTTCATAATTTTAATCGTTTGAATGACTTACATCCGCGAATTACACATAAATAAAATTAAATATAATATATGATTTGATGTTATTTATAATTGTTTTTTATTGTTAAATAATTTTTTAAAATTTATTTTCTTAATGTTTTAATTTCTATAATTATAATTATTTAAAACATCAAAAACATTGTTTTTTTATTTTAAAACTAACAATATAATAATTTATATAAAGTTATTTTTAACTATTGTTATTGTAAGTTAGTTTAAGCTACTTATTTGGAAACATGAATAAAATTAAATATAATATATGATTTTATGTTATTTATAGTTGTTTTTATTTTTAAATAACTTTTTAAAATTAATTTGCTTAATATTTTAATTTCTATCATTATAATTATTTAAAACATTAACCATTTTTTTAAGCTACCGATATAGTCGTTTATATAGAGTTATTTTTAACTATTGTTATTGTAAGTTATTTTAAGCTACTTATATGGAAACTTTTAACGATTATAAAAAATATATTTATGAAATATTTTAGTTAAATTGAGATTACAATTTAGTTTTTGCATTTATCACTACAGTTTATCACTTTTAACTATTTATAAAATATTCTATAGTTTTTTAAATGGAACTGAAATTTATATTTGATTTGACATTGTAATGCACAGTAACACCTATATAGTTGAAGTATTTACAAATATATATTTTTGTAAATATAACACTAACGTTGTTGTTAAATTTGATATAATAATTTGTATATTAATTTGATATAATATATTGATTATTTTGAATTGTATGATAATATATACATCTATTATAACATCATAATCTCAATCGTTTGAATGAGTTCTACTCGCGAGTTACAAATCAATAAAATTAAATATTATATATGGTTTAATATTATTTATAGTTGTTGTTATTGTTAACTAATTTTTTAAAATTTATTTGCTTAATGTTTTATTTCTATCATTATAATTATTTAAAACATCAAACATTATTTTTTTTATTTTAAAGGTAACAATATAGTCATTTATATAAAGTTATTTTTAACTATTGTTATTGTAAGTTATTTAAGCTACTTATTTGAAAATTTTTAACGATTATAAAAATATCTTTAGGAAATATTTTTGTTAAATTGATATTACAATTTAGTTTGTTGCATTTATCACTATAACTTATCACTTTTAACTATTTGCAAAATATTTTTTGGTTTTTAGTGGAACTAAAAATTATATTTAAGTTGACATTGTAATGTTATATTTAAATTAGCAATTTAAGTATTTTGTCAAAACTGTTCAAAAGTTATAACTTTAAATTGATAATGGTTTACATACAACACCATTTTAAATCTAATAAATTAAGTATAATATGTTAAAATTTAAAGACATAACTTAATAAAGAGAAGTAAATATATTATTTTAAAATTAAAATTTAGTCTATTTATGATTACACTTTAAGTTTGATATTTATTTAAACTTATTAACCAACTTATAATTATTATTAGAACGAAACTACAATTTATCACTTTTAACTATTTATAAAATATTTTTTGGGTTGTTTAAGTTAAATAAAATTTATAGTTAAGTTGAGCCTGTAATGTTATATTTTAATTAATAATTTAAGTATTTTATACAAATTGTTCAAAAATTATACCTTTAAAATGACAATGGTTTACATCCAACAATATTTTAAAACTAATAAATTAAGTATAATATGTTAAAAGTTAAAAAACATAATTTTATAAATAGAAGTAAATATATTATTTTAATATTGAAATTTAGTTTATATATGATTACACTTTATGTTTGATATTTATTTAACCTAATTCCCAAATTATAATAATTATTATTATAAAGAAATTAAAAAGTTATGAGAGTTTCAAATGAATGTGGTGAAAAGCAAAAAGAATGAGGGGTTTCAAATGCATGAGATTCGAGAAAAAATGCTAACTTTAAAAGCATGTATGATATATATATATATATATATATATATATATATATATATATATATATATATATATATATATATATATATACACACACACACACACACACACACACATACATACATACTAGCCGTTTACCAGCACCAAGTGACCAGTGCGAATAGTTTATTTTAGTAATTATTTCTGTTTGGAAACATTTAAGATTTGACACCCAACTTTCGAAAAACATGACATATTACAAAAAAAACATATTGTGGTGCAATAAAAAAACTTTCCGTTCACCGAAGATTTTTTGGACAATGAATATAAATATGTTTTTTTATTTAAAAATATATGTATCTTGTTATTTTGGGTAAAAATAACTTTTCTTAAGTTAAAAAGAAAAGTACATTGCGGCAAATACTTTTCTTTCAATGATGATGGTTGAAATATGAACTTATTTGCTTCTTATATATTTTTGATGTATATATCTTGAATCACATATGAGACTTGTATAATCTTTATAGCTTATGTGTATCCATATATTAGTGCATCATACAAACTTCTTTTCCCCTGCCTGCCATAGTGTCGTATGTTAATGTTGATTTGAAAAAGTTAGGCATAAATAACAATGAACAAAAAAGACCATAATGTCCTTTGCTTAAGTAATCACACCCAAGCTTCAAAGTACCATATTGTCCTTTATTCTTATTATTACTCGAAAACTTCAAAACATCATACCAAGAGCTATAAATATTCAAATGAACATTGTTGCAATTATCCAGAAAAAAAAAAAAAACAAAATGCCACCAGAAATTATAATTTTTCCATGGCTTTCAACCATCAAACATCAGAAAAGGACCAAAATACCCTTAAAAAATTTATTGGACAAATATGAATATGTGAATATGAAAGTTGAAACATTAATTTCATTTACCTCAAGAAAAAGAGCAATATCAATTGACGTATCAGTATGACAGGCAACCTGGTGTCCAGGATGAGTGGTATGGCAGGGAACCATTCCATTTTTGAAGTGGCGTTATCACACGGTTCTACACCAGTGTATATAGCCAGTTTCCTTAACAATATGGTATCCAAGTCGATAGCTAAGTGAATTAATTACATCATTAATTTCATTTCCCTACAAAAAAAAGAGCAATCTCACACATGTGAAAAAAACGATATATAATAGTTTAACTTGACCTTCGAATGAGTACGTTTAGAGAAGAATTCATGAGGATGGAGACTATATTCTTTGATTAAAACTGTTCTCTTCATATGATTTCATCCTAAAAACGAACAAAAAAACAATATGTTTATTTTGTTTCACGTAAACAATCAAATACACAAGAAAAATCATATTCAATTTTACAACATAAAACAATAATACTCTAAGTAAATTATGTGTATTTTTGATAGATAAAATCCTAACTGTAAATAATTTAAAAGATACAACCTAGATTTGGATGATTTAACCAGGAAATACGATTCACCCAAATACAAGAGCAAGAAAGGATCTATAGAGTTCTTTTTTTTTCATGAAATCTATTTGTTAAAATTAGAGATGTGAACTTATTGTAAATAGTTTAAAAGATACAACCTAGATTTGGATGATTTAACCAGTGAATACGATTCACCCAAACACTTTACATCATCAAAAATCAAAAGATCAATTTGTTTAATGGGTTTAATAATTAAAAAGATTAGAATCAACGAACACTATACACCTATACTTGGGATGGAGTAGCTTGTACCACGTTATCTGAAGCTGGATTCTTGGGCTTTGAAGTGAAACTTCTCATGAAGATGTTGTCCATCATCTGTTGATTGATCGTTTGACTTCTTTGCAAATCTGCTGCAGCTTCAGAGCCATTCTGGACCTTTCCCACATTATCTACTTCTAAAAAAGCATTCATAGCTTTCCAACCTGGATTTGATGTCATAGGAACGGGAGATAATTCCATGGAGATTTTAGATCCATCAAACGCTCAATTATCTACATATACAGTAGAAACGGAATTTAGAGATTCAAAAAGAAGCAACGAAAGCGAAAGAGAAAACAAAAAAGGAAAGTAGCAGCGTACCTTTTTCATCCCGTTTAAAAAGAAGCGGCGGAAGCGAAAGATCTACATGCACGTGATGCTAGAATTACACACACTCTTTGGGGGGGGGGGGGGCAGAGTCACTTGTGTGCATCTTATATGCGCCCATCATTGAGCAATCTCCTTGACTATCCTCCAGGATAGATATCAGTTCCTTAACATCTGGAAAATAATCATCATATATATCATATATCATAAATCATATGAAGGGATAAAAATATAATATGATTAGTTGAAGAGATGAAACTAAGGGGCTGTTTGTTAGCATCTGTATTATTCATATCTGGATGATGCAGAGGTCTGGATGATATAGAGACTCTGTATGAATCTGTATCCGGATGATTAATTGATGTTTGGTTACACATCTGAATGCATGTCTCTGAATGGTAAAAATGACCATTTTAACCCTCTGAACTATGTGTTACTGTTTGGTTGGATATCTGAATGACTGAGCTGAATGATACTGAATTTGGAAGTAACTATAAATAAAATACAAAATGTAATATAAAATCCAAATTAAAATTAGAACAAAATCCAAATTAAAATGCATACAACACCCAAATTAAACATCATACAACATCCAAATTAAACATAAACCTAAGCATACAACTTTAAATTAATTGATTTGCAATTTGGTTACGCAAATTAGCCATATATTCAGTGTCTTGGTTACCCCACTGAATGTCGTGTACGTTTTGGTCATCACTTCCTCCACCTTCTACTTCAGCAGTAAACATAGTGTCTTCTTCAAAGTCCATAAATAATTGATCATGAATATTACACTTCCTTATAAAATTATGGACTGCAAAACAAGCAAGCACTATGTCTCTTTGTATTGGAAAAGGATAAGGAGCCATTTGCTTTAGGATTGGGAATCTAGCCTTCAAAACTCCATAAGCGCGCTCAATAACATTTCTGAGTTGTGCGTGAGCATGATTGAACTTTTCCTCCTTAGTTAATGCACGATGTCTTCGGAAATCGGCTAACCAATACCTCGTATTGCGGTAGGGAGCCATAAATCCACGAGTGTTGGTGTATGCGGCATCACAAAGGTAATATTTGTCTGTAACGTGAATTATTCAATTGTTATATAATATAAAAATATATAAATTATTTAATAATCAACGTTAAAAAAAAAAGATTACAAACCTGGTGGAGGAATTGGAAAACCGGAAGTTGGGTTAAATACAACTTCTTTTAGAACTCGTGAATCATGTGCTATGCCCTCCCAACCGGCCCATACAAACGTGAATATCATATCAAAATTACAAATTCCAATAACATTCTGATAGCATTCACCTTTTCCTCTTCCCCTATAACGAGTTTGTTGATCAGCGGGCACGATTGCATGAACAAGAGTTCCATCTAACGCACCTATCGCTCCCGGAAATATTTCTTTCAACCTTCTATGTCGTCTTGATGTGTTTGTGGTTGCATTGGAAGATGTTGGCACAATAACTTCTCTTGCAAAATTCATCATCGCAGTTCTAACCTCATGAAAACACCTATGAATTGTTTCGGTTGAATGTTGAAATCTACGTTTAACCATTCGAAACCGCTCATTGTGTCCGATGACTGTCAAAAACATAGCTAACTTTTCTTCAACACTTATTGACCGACTACTTTGCAACCATTTTTTTGTTTAAAATGGTTGCATAGTAGTACATATGATTCCCGTGAAAGACGCATCAATTCATGACATTGTAAAGAAGATCCATACAACAATTCTTGCGTAAATTCATGACCGGTCAATGCCGAATTCAAGTCGCTTATCCTTTCTATTCTTGTCGAAGCCAAAAACATCCAATACCAAGAAAGCAACATGAAATACACAATATCATCATCGATATCCATAAATAACCTGTCAAACAACATATAAAATTAAACATTTTAAAAACATAACTTCAAACAACATATAAAATTTAATATTTTAAACACAATAACAACAAACATCAAATAAAATTCTAAAAAAGTTCACATATTAAATTCATAACGACACACGTCAAATAAAATCCTAAAAAAGTTCAACATTTTAAATCCATAACGACACACATCAAATAAAAATCCTAAAAAAACCATCACATCAACCCATACTTTGATCCAGCATTCTTTAACCACATCTCACAAGCTTCCGTCGGAAGAAATAACCAAACTTTTCTAAGATCGGCACTTTCACCAAAAAGCAAAACAGCCGTTTGGTATCTTGGATCAGATATTCCCCATTCCATTTTCACCAACTTTTCCATACATGAAGTCATATCGTGCTCTTTATGTTTCTCCACTAACATCCTTGCAACTTTGCTAATTTCATCACCAACTTCAATGATCTTGGCATTAATTGTTGCTTTTCCTTTTCCTTTACCGCCGTTGCTTTTAGAAACACTAGAGGTTCCTTCATTTGGACTTTCAGGTGAAGTCATACTTTCCATGTGAGTTACATTGATACCATCAAAGTCACTTAAATTAATGTCCGGCGAGTCATGAGAAGGGTGAGGAAGTGTAGAAGATGGCCCCCATCCATGAATGCCAGTTGCAGCCGACCCATCGAACAACTGAACACAAAGATCAGGGTACACTAGTGGAGAAGTTCTCAATGTTTCTACCATTTTGTTCAACTGCTTGAAAATACTATAAATATTATGAAATATTATAAAATATTATGATATATTACTTCTTATCAAAAATCACAATACCTTGATCTCTAGTTGCCATTCGTCTTCTTCCATGTTAAACGTGTTAGTTATATGGTTATAAACGTTGCCTGTTTTGTTTTTTAATTTCAACCAAGCACCAAACTTTGCTTTTAGGTAGTCGTATCTATTTTTCATTTGCTTTTGATCAACTACAAAATTGTATTCTGTTTTCAATCTTTCAGCTACATTCTTCCATGAGCTTGCTTTTAAACTACTCCCTTCACGTCCGTAAGTTGTAATTTCATGAATACAAGCTTCAAGGAATGTTTTTTCCACACCTTCTATTTGTTTCCAATTAATTCTAGGCCTTTTTTGTGCCATTGCCATGTCTAATATTCAAAATCCAGCAATGATATATTTCAGCAACAAAACTAATTAACTACCACAAGTAGACCAACATAACAGAAAAATCAAACAAAAAATAGCATATTTCAACAACATATAGAAGAAAAATCACAACAAGAAGATATAAGGCCCCGATTGTTTTGTAGAATGTTTTTGGAAGGAATGGAATTTGTGAAAGGAATTGGAATCTGAATTATATAATATTACCAAAATACTCTTTTAGCGGTTTTTGTAATTTTTTTAAATAAATATGATTAAAATCTGATTAGTGATAGAACTAGAAAAACAATTGCTAGTCATGTAAAAAAAATATGAACTAAAAACCATGTATTGTTGTTGGAAGAATAGATATATTCGACATTCATATAAAAAAATCAGAATTGTGTATCATTAAAGGCTTAAAAGCATAGTTGGATAGAAGGGTAAATTTGTCAACATTGTAATTGATAAGGAATTGAATCAAAATTCATATAGTTTACCTAGAGAATTGAAAATCTTTTACCTGCCAATTTTAATATACACGCTGGAAATTAGTTTCATGTGATTTGGTCATCCAAACACATTTAAGAAAGGAATTTATTTTCCAATTCCTCCAAATTCATCCGGAATCTAGTGAACCAAATGGGGCCTAAGATTTCAGCAACATCTATTCTTATTATCCCTAATTTGTTTTCATCAATTTTTTGGACATTTCAGCAACAAAATTCAACATTTCAATGCATATATAGCAGCAAAATCAGCAAGAATAAAGATCAAACACAAACAACCCCAATATTGAAACCAAAAAAACGCAATTCAACATCACAACAATCCAGCAACAAAAAACGTACATAAAACTGAGAAATCGGTGGTTACAAATCAATTAGATTTCACACAAATCATTCACCCAAAATCAAATTGATCACCCATCATAGCAAGACAGCAAGAACATACCAATAACACAACACATAGAAACAATTTTAAGAGAGAAAAACTCTGTAAAAATCACTCCAATGATTGGAAGAACTTACCAGCAAAGAGCGAAGATGGGGAGGCGACGAGGAGGGAGGCGGCGCAGGTGGAGGTGGCGCAGGTGGAGGCGGTGCAGGCGCAAGCGGAGGCAAACCGGTGCTGTAGGACGACTGCAAGCTGAAATCGATAAGGTGAAGAAGCCAATTTTTGTTGTTCGCTGAAGTAGAAGAAGGAAAGAAAAAAAGAGGCGGACGATTAGGGCAAGGGCATCAAAGGAAAAAGTTTCATCCAGAGTTCCTATCATATCTGAGCGAATAAGACATTTTTTTTAAATATCTGATTGATTAAGAGGCTAAATTAATTTCAACCAAACGCTCTGAATCTGAATGATCCAGAGTCATCCTCTTTATGGGATCATTAAGAGGGCAAACAAACAGCCCCTAAGTGTGTCATGTATTACCTGCAACACCAAAAGTTATGTTCTTACTGAAGGGGACGACTTTAATTTTATAACGCTGCCCAGGAGGAGCATCCAAATCCTTCTCCAACGAAAACCCATTTTTCCTAATACAAAATTACAAATTCATTCAACAATAACTTTTATAAATGAACATGATTGATGATACCATACCAGAAGCTGAGAACTAACTGTTTAGACATAGACTTTACCTGATGGTATCCATGTGCATTGAAACGATCACTTTGTCTTCAGGATGCCTTTTAACATCATATATAAACCAGAAAAACATGTCAACAATATATCTACATTCTTTTATCAAACAAATCATTAACTCCTCACTTCAGCAACGGTTGTTGGTTCAAGATGTGGTGAACCTTGACAAACGCTCATAATTGTATTTCTCATCTGCAACATGCTTATTCATTCATAAATCATAACATACAAAAACACCATCACGTCAGATTCACATCTACAACACATAGAATATATATTTTATAGTATACCCAATGGAAATGAAACAACAGTCTTCAAATAAGATGATGAGGTAGCAAACACCTGATCCACGATAAACAACTCTTCATCCAACTTGTCAATGATAAATCCAAGATTGAACTGCCCAATCACCTACACAAACAAACACAAATAGCATGATAGTAAACACAATCAGAAGAAACTATCCGTATATAATTCTCAAACAATGGTGGTGAATGTCGTTAGTAAGGGAAAGGAAAGGTGGAGGGGAAATGGTTATGACGACGGTGATTAGTGGCGAGAAAGGGTTTCTAGATCCAATCGATAGTGGCGAAGGTCGTGGAGGCGATAAAGGGTTGTGATAGAAGGCGAAAGGAGGTAGAGCGACTATGGTGGTGGTCACAATTTCATAGTTAGGGTTTCTTTGACTGATAAAGAGATAGAGAGATAGAAAGAAGAGACAGGGCGATGACGACCGAGTGGTGTGTGGAATCTCGTTATGATTGAACTAAGAGAATGAATCCAAATATAAATCATATTTAGTGTTGACCAATTCAACAGGTTTGAAGATAAGGGATGACCGATTGAATTTGTTCAGTTTGTTTAGTGTTTATTTGAATTTTTCAAGATCGGATAAAATAAGATCTAATTTTCATGAAATGCATAAAATTGTTGTATATAATGTTTTAAGGATGGCACCTCTTATAATTCAGCAAAATCTTATAAATGCTTTTTAAGGTATATATATATATATATATATATATATATATATATATATATATATATATATATATATATATATATATATATATATATATATATATAAATAATAGAAAAAAAAATCATTTGGATGAAAAAGAAAAGAGTAAATTACACGAATGGTCCCTATGGTTTGGGGTAATTTGCGTGCTTGGTCCCTAACTTATTTTTTTAACTCGGAAGGTCCCTATGGTTTGTTTTTGTTACGCGTTTGGTCCATACTTTTTTTGTTACGCGTTTGGTCCCTATCTTATCTAAAAAGACTATTATTTAAAGAGAAAAAAATGATGGGGTAGGTGAGGTAAGGTGATGGGGTGGGATTAGGGGTGTGTTTATTTAGATAAATTAAAAGAATCAAGGGCATAATAGTCTTTTTAGGTAAGATAGGGACCAACCGCGTAACAAAAACAAACAGTAAGGACCTTCCGAGTTAAAAAAATAAGTTAGGGATCAAACGCGCAAATTACCCTAAACCATAGGGACCATTCGTGTAATTTACTCAAAAGAAAATATTCTTTTAATTTAAAGTGAGGTTGTGAACATCGAACATAAGGGCTTTTTAAAAAATAAAAATAAATAAACACCTAACCATGTTCCAAATAATAGGACCAAATAATACATTTTTTTATGTATATCTTTTCATTCATGATAAATACAGGAAACCACTAGAAAACGCATTAATCATTTCAGTCCATCACCCTTTTGTCAGTATGCCTTCCAAAAAACTTCACGCAGCAATACTATGCAGTCCCGGCGTTGGCCATTTAGTCCCGGTATTATTACTTGGCCGCCGTCTTATCAGCCACCACAACCTCCATGTCACCGTCCTCGCCGTCACCACCACCACCTCAACAGCGGAATCCCAACTCCTCAATTCCTTGACCGCGGACATCCACCTTCCAGTCATCCAAATTCCTGCTGCAGACATCTCCTCCGTCGTTTCTCCAGATGCCAAAGTCGTCACAAAGATTTGCGCCATGATGCGGCAAACAATACCCACCATCCGTACCACCATTTCCTCCATGGACCCTCTTCCCGACGTCCTCGTTGGCGATATCTTCTCAACAGAATCATGGACTATTGCCGAAGAAATTGGGATGCCCAAGTACGCTTTTATCACCTGCAACGCATGGTTCACCGGGCTGATCACTTACTCCCCGGTACTCGATAAGGAAGTAGTGGGTCAATATGTTGACCAAACAGAGCCCTTTGAGATACCGGACTGTAAGCCGGTCCGACCGGAGGATGTTGTGGATCCCATGTTGGATCGGGACGATGAAGACTATCGGGTGTACTTAAACCTAGCAGTTGGTGTAACGTTGGCTGATGGTATCTTAATCAACACATGGGAAAATCTTGAACCACAATCTCTTTTCGCTCTCAGAAATAACGAGATTTTACGTTCCATCGTTAAAAACAAACCGGTTTACACAGTTGGTCCGATAACCAAAAAATACGAACCGGTCGGTTTGAAGAGTGAGGTGATTGAATGGCTTGATAAACAGCCGGAAAGGTCAGTCATATACGTGTCTTTTGGAAGCGGTGGAACGTTATCAGCCGAGCAAATTACAGAGCTGGCTTGGGGATTAGAGCTGAGCCAACAAAGATTTGTTTGGGTGGTCCGGCCACCTGCTGGACATATTAATGACGGGTCTTTTTTCGAATCCGGTCATTCAGGTGAACTAAATGGTCAAGCAGATTATCTTCCAGAAGGGTTCTTGACTCGAACCAAGAAAAAGGGTTTTGTTGTGCATTCATGGGCCCCACAGGTGGAGATTTTGAACCACGTGTCGGTTGGGGGTTTTCTGACGCACTGTGGATGGAACTCGACGTTAGAGAGCATTAGTAGTGGGGTAGCGATGATAGCATGGGCGTTGTATGCAGAACAGAGGATGAATGCGACGATGCTGATGGAGGAGCTGAAGGTGGCGGTGAGGCCGGAGGTGTTGCCGACGAAGAAAGTTGTGGGGAGGGAGGAGGTAGAGAAGATGGTGAGGTGTTTGATAGAAAGCGAAGAAGGAAAAACAATGACAGAGAATGTAAAGAGGTTAAAGGAAGGTGCGGAGGAGGCAATGAGCGTAAATGGTTCGTCTTATGTTTCAACATGTAAATTTGTCAAGGATTGTTGGTCTCGAGTTCATCTGCCAAGATGAGTACGCATTAAGAGATAGAAGCAAATATCACTTGGCATTTCAGTATCTAAGTTTATTAGTACTGGATTGTTAATAAAAATTGATAAATAAATGTTGAATCAATGAGCTTCTGTAAAGCTTAGTAATTCATCGATTTGACCATTGTCAAACTTCTTCGAGGTCATCTGTGTCTATCTGATTTTTACATGTCGTTTATTATAAGATTCTATAAGAGAAGAAGGTTTTTCTCGGTTAATGAGGAAGAATATTACATCTAACTGAATCTTAGGAATCATTATTATTGAAATTTTAGGGTACAATATGTTTCCAATATGGGAGTTTTTTGCAAAACTTAATTCTCAACACCATTTGGAAATCTAAGGTCTTTTTGGTTTACCTTGCAAAAATGGGGTGGTAACCCCAGTAAGCCAATGCGGAGATTCATGTATTTTACACCTCAAACCCTTTAAACTTCAAGTTTTTATATTTAATTTACAAAATCGATAATACATTACATTTAAATCCTTTTTAGTTATGACTTTTATTTTACATTTATACTATAAAATATATAAGTTTTAGCCCTCACTTGTCATTATTTTTTAGAACTTTTCATTTTTAACATTGACCGATTACAAAGTAAATAGCTTAAAATAAAATAAACAACCGTAAAGATAAAGAGTCTAATCTCTCTCTCTCTCTCTCTCTCTCTTATGTATACATTTTAAGGTGTTAATAACAAGAAACAATCAGATAATACATAGATAGGTTGAATAAAATAATAAATAAATAAATAATAATCAAACTACCGAAGAGAATAAATTAATGTTGAAATTTCGATTTGACGAATTTAATGCACATAGGATCTGGATGAAGAAAAAGAAACCTGATTTTGAAAATGTATATGTTAAAAACCCTAAACAAATAAAACGTGTTTTAATGATGCGGTTTAAAAAATAACTCCAAAAAATTGTGTTTTAATGGTGCTACTGTAACGGCTGGTTCTTGGTAAGCATTTAACTCATTTATTTATTTATTTTGAATGAAGGACTCGGCGAGTTAGTGGCCCTAACTCGTTGAGTAGAGGGCAGAGTATGCGCGAGATTTGAGCTACCTACTCGGCGAGTCGAGATCTCCGACTCGACGAGTAGCGCGCCTAGGGTGAAACCCTAATTTCGGGGTTTTGTACCCTATTTAAGCATCTTAATCCTCACCCCTTGGCGCCATTTACAGCCTCCTTATCCCAAACCCTAATCCACGAAACCCTAGAGCTTTCCTTGAGTGTGTTGTGACAACCGTCAAAATTCAAGTTAGTTCTAGATTTGAATAAACTTAGTTACACATATAAGCACTACACATATTAGACTTAGTAACTAGAAGCTAAGTTATAACCTAGTAGAATCTTGGAAACAGTTAGAGACAATGGATAATGTGCTTGGATTTCACATTGGTATGTGAATTCTACAACTACTTAACTGTAGTGACTATTCATATTCGGGTTACTCTTTGACTCGAACAACATTTCATGAATCATATACACACATCATGCACTTGACCTAGAAGTAGAAGTGAGTTCAAAGTCTCATAGAAACTTAAGTCAAAGTTGAAGACTAGGACTAGTATACTTGATTCCTCAATTTCGTTTGAATATCGGAATCACTACATAGAATGCCAATAAACCGATAAAGATAAATTATAAACATTATTTATAACTATAAAAGAGTTATAATACCATAAGATAATTTAAAGTCTCAAATATTCAATTTATTTTGATATTCAAAGTTTATTAAACTCCAAAACCCTAAAAGCCCTAAAACCTAAATTTTATAAAATTTGACATCAAAAATTCTATAAAAATAGTTATAAAACT